AATCCCATCAGGGTCCATCAGGCCTGGTGCCATGCGGGCCGCCCCACTGTCAAAGAACCCAAAGTTGTGGCATTGACACCAGCCGCGGAGCCATGCATTTATGGACTGCGTCCACCTGTTCCACCCAACGTTGCTGCCCTCAACTGGAAGGAGGGAGGAGATTATTAGCTGCGCCCCCGAATCCTTCAGTGACTGCCCTAAGAGCCTGAAGTCCCTTTTGATCGCTTTCGTGGTGTGTGTCTCTGCTTCCTCCCCACCCACATGGAGGAGCAGCAGTGGGTAACAGTCAGAGGGCTGTACCAGGCTGGGGAGTTTCCTGGCGATGTCCTTGACACGGGCCCCAGGGAGGCAGCAGACTTCTCTGAAACGAGGGTCTGCCCTGCATATCGGGCCCTCTGTACCCTTCACATGGGAGTGTCCTACAACTATAACTCTCCTTTTCTTCTTTGTCGGGGTGGTCACGACCCGAGGCATGGGCCTTTTGGGCCTAGGTGCTACCTCTGGAGTAGCTTGACTGTCATCCATATCCTCGCTCGAGTGGCCTTCCACAGCCAGAGCCTCGTACCTATTGCACAGGGGTACGTGGGATGGCGAGGTGGGTGAGGAGGAGAAGGTTTGCCGCCTGCCACGCCACGCGTGGACTTGTTTCCATTCACTCCCCTCTTTGAGGCTGTTGCCTTCTGCCTGGCGAGGGGAGGATACAAGGTCCCCTTCACTTTGGCTTTGGTCTGTTAGTTGTCCCTGTTTCTTCCTCAAAGACTGTTCCTGCAGTGCAACGAGTTTACCAAAGCTAAACTTGATCTGTTTTTAAAAAAACCCTGTATTTTTTTTTGATAGTATATTGCATATCAGAATCAAATGTTATTGTCAAAACCAATTAATACATTAAATTCACTTTCTCAAAGCTATATAGACTTAAAGTGAATGTCATTTTCTGGTTTTGTAGTGCTTTGGCTTTAAATGGAACCTCTAACACACAAATGAGTGTTATTTACTATGACTTTAATACTTCCTAGTCTCATCATATCTAGATTGTTCAAAGTATGCTCAAACATATGCTCCAAGTATGGTCGATGCATCACCGACTACTTCAAATTCAGTGACTGTTGATGGCTGTGTTCTCTAGAACAGACCCAACAGTGGTTGTGTAATACACTAAAAGATGAGTTGGTTTAGGTTTCACTTTGGTAGCAATATATTGTAAACTGGGTTTGAAAAAGCTTTAATGTGTACAGTAAGAGATTAGTAATATTTCAGTACATTTCTAGAATTATTAATAGGAGTATACAAGAGTTAGAATTTGAATTCGGGGCCTCCTTTTCAGTCTGATATGCTGTACATAAGCTAAAGAGTATTGAGTAGCAAAATAGCAAGAGATATCTCTTTTTGACCTCACACACTCAGAGCCTGTTCTCTGACATACCGTGAGTAGTCTACAAGCTATTATGTCTATTTCACTTTTAGACAAACAATAATGATATATGAATACATTTCATTAGGATATAATTAGGGGGGACCCTACTAATTTTTATTGAAGATATTTTAGTTTGATTCCATTTTATAAGGATGCTTTCTCAAAGTTTCTAGTGGAATTTGCTTACAAAATCTTGGTTATTCTTGGTTATTGTTACAGGACTTATTTATAGTGGACATACGTTTCCATTACTACTTACGAACTTGGCTAAATTGTACACTAGAAGTTATTGGAACCATTCTAGTTATCACATCTGCCTCACCACTATTCATAGTGGTAATGATTCCCCTGGGATACTTTTATTTTACTATCCAAGTAAGTGCGTTAAGCTTTTATAAAGATTTCTAGATGTATGTGGATGAAATGACCAAAGCAATCAGGAATACAGGTTTAAATTATTCCTTATTGTGAAAAAAAAAAACAAACCACCAAACACATATATATATAGAGAGAGAACACATCTGAAATTGCTTTCAGAAAAAATCTTCAGGCTTCTTAAAATGAAATTAGAACACTTCTTGAATATATCCTATAATGCTTGGGACCTTTTAACGGCTTACATTTTTCTCTTCATATTTTCCTTTTTCTTAGGAAGATATAATATTGATATAGATCCCACCAAGAAATTTGATGAAGTTACCTGAAAAAAAGGAGGTGTACCTTATAGTGAAAGCAAAAAGTTGAAGGGTAACCCTGAAAAAGCAGATGTAAAATAGAATTATGCCTAAAATACCTGTGCTATTTTTTGAGTGGAGTGTCAGTTATGCTACTGAGAAACAAGAGAGTAATGTTTCAGAAAGACTAGTGGCTGCATTCCAGTTTCTTGATGCTCAGAGTATGGTTTGTGATTAAAGATCTCGAAAGATTCTTAAAATAAGAATGTAGAGAAAGGAAAAGAGTGCCTGGATTCAGTTTCTGCTAAGGAATTTAAATACAGACACCATTACATAATAAAGGCTGACTTTCATCTGAGAAAGAAGCAGGACATTCTAATTTGAAAGTTTACATAGCAGTTTTAGTTGGTTGTTACACACCTCTTGTGGTACAGCACATTTTCTATAGAATTTGGAAATAATGCTCTCTTATTTTAACCTTGCCAGTAATTTATGTATTGCAGTTATGTCAGTATGACAATATTGGTGTGTCCCAAGAGACAGATTTTTTTTTTTCTATACTGTTTGCAAATAGCTTTTTTTCTGTGTGGACAGTTCTGACTTTTTCACATTCAAAATTTACAGGAATTACTTAACAGGTTACTTAGCTGGAAATAAATATGGCAAATATTTTAAAGAATGTAAAAGAAACTGTAGCAACTTAAAATGTCTGTTTTGTCTGTACTGTTTTATTAGCAATACTACATAGCGAGTTCACGACAAATTCGACGGCTAGCAGGAGCATCGCATTCTCCTGTGATCTCCCACTTCAGTGAGACTCTAGTAGGGTGTTCAACAATTCGAGCATTTGGCCACCAAGAGAGATTCATTAGAAAAAATAATGATCTTGTGTATGAGAACTTAGTTTACTTCTACAACAATGTCATCTCAAACAGGTACTTTACAAAAGTTCTGCGTCTGTGACTGAGGCCTTCTTCTGTAGAATTCCACAACTAAGTGTTTACCTTTAGTCAGAGTAAACTCACTGAGAAACAGAAGGACAAGGGCAATTTATTGTCTAAGCACTAGGATGATTTCTTCTTTATGTACCAGGAACTAGCAGGTTTATAAAAAATATGCATATGCTCTCTGGGATGAGAATATTAAAAAAAAAAAAAAGCAGTTTATCAATAGGTCATGAGGATGGACTGTATTACATTTCAACTAGCAGTTCCTCTTGCAAGTTTATGAACAAATTGAATTTATGTTTCAGTAGTTCACCTGGAAGTAACCTGGTGTCTGTACCTACAGGCACCAGGTACATCTTTAGAGTGGAATCTTGGGTTTAAGGAATTAAGTCCATCTCCTCTCCTCCTTTTGTGATTCAGTTCAGTTACAGGCAGAGATTAGCAAGGAGAAGATTTTCAGTTCTGGTTTTCAGTCATATACCTGAATGTTTTCCAGATAGGAAGATTAGGAAAGCAGTATGAGGAGTGAAGGGAGCACTAGCCAGGAGCTGAGAGACCTGCATTTTATTTTTAGCGATGCTACCAGTTCTTGATATGTCATATTCCCTCCCCAGTTCATCTGTAAAATGGGAATGATAGTATATATCTCTTTTGTAAAGTGGGAAACTTGCTAATATAATGATCTCAAAGAGTCATTATATTAGCCATATGTTCACTATACTATTAAAAAAATATTATGTAATTAACTTTTTTTCTTTGCCTTGACTTGCTACAGGTGGCTATCTGTCAGGCTTGAATTTCTGGGAAATCTAATGGTGTTCTTTGCTGCACTGTTTGTAGTACTGGCTGGAAATACAGTGAGTTCTTCTACAGTGGGTTTATCAATATCCTATGCTCTAAACGTAAGTAATGATGCGATTTTTTTGCTGCTACCATATTGCATATGACAAGGGAAGAATACATACAATGAAGTTGTGTAGGTGAATATACACGGTGGCATCGATGAAACTAAATCCCATGGGCAGAACAGAGTTTTCCTTTGAGTTCTATTAATTCTGGGAAGCTTCACATTATTTTCCACTTCTGAATTTCAATGAAATAATAATTATTAAAACATATTTTAAAATCAAGTTATTGAAACTTGATTATATGGTTTATTTTTAAGTGTTTTGTTATAATAAGAAGCCTAGTCATGTACAACTATACTTCATATTTGATTTCTTGTTCACTTACTGAATCTTATGTGTGAATGCTTACTTATGAGTTTCATAAAATCATTTATTTTGGCATTGTCCTTGTAAAGGTAATATGTGAAAGCCACATTTGAAATGTGTCTTGAAGTAAGGTAAACTGTATTGATAAGTTGCTAGTTAAAATAAATCTTAAGCATTAGGTACACACAAACTAAGTCTTCAGGTTTGTTTAATCTTAGGATGCTTAGGAGTCTAGAGGTGTCCAGATTCTCACTGTGGGAAGTGCTTCAGAAACACAGCTGACAGATACTAATGAAGAGAAATACAAAAAAATATATCAATTACCTGTCATGGTATATCCACATCACCCCCAACTCACAAGAGTTCCATTTTCTGTTATCCAGAGATAGAACAATGTCATTTATATCATCATATACTTGGTGATGACATTCACAGGTACTTCACAGTTTTTCACCTTCATTTGATGTCAAATTGACACCATTCTTTATTTCGATACATACAGCATCTCAAAACAGTTGACTTTTTAAGAATTGTTTTGGCTCACTTTTTTCCTGTAGAAGTGGGAATATTTAGCCACAGAATTAGTACCATGGAAGTGGTACCAATTCTGTCTGCAGAAGCATTCCCAGTGCTTGAAGATGACAAATTTGGCAGACATAGCAGACCAAATACATATCTCCATTACAAATTCTTTCTTCTGTATTTCTAGCTTACTTTACCTAGGGAATAGTGCAACAGTGTACCCACAATATGAGCCATGTATGTTTTGCATTTCGACATATCACACAATTACTGTGCATTTTCTGTTGATCTTGAAGTAGTTTCAGATTTCTGGAGCTGTTAATGTTAGTGAAAATTACAGCAGCCATTGGGCACTGAAAGCAGACAAGAAGTGCTCAGAGTAATGCTGAGATCAGTCATTTTCTAAGTGATAGTTCATTTGGCATGCCATCATTTGCTGTACACATTTTGGCTTCTGTAATTAAGCATCCAGCTTATGAAATTATTACATTCGAGGTAAGTTTTGCAATCAGTTTGCTGTATTCTAGTAGAGTCACTTTTTTTACATTCTACGATGCAACTATTTCCCCAGATAATTCCGAGTCTGAATTTTTGGGTGCGTAAAGCATGTGAAATTGAGACCAATGCAGTGTCAATTGAAAGAATTTGTGAATATGCAAAAATGGATAAAGAGGTGAGCTTTCTTCTTGAAATGGTGAGCATTCTTCTTGAATATTTAATTCGTGTGCATAGAAAATGACTTAGATTGACTTTAATATTGGTGAGTGTCATAGCAAGTTGTAAGTTGTTATTAAATATTTTCTCATTTTTTTTATATTGAGAATAATATGTGGCTTCTTCATTACATTTCTAGTCATAGCAGTTTTATTCCTATTTCAACCAGTAAATTTCTTGGCATCCTTCTTAGCAAGAGATTTTGTAGTAAGACTAATGCAGCTACAGCTCAGGTGAACTTTCTATGCTATGTGCAACCAAGAGGAGCATTTTAAGAGATGAAGACAGGAAGAACGGCCTGTCAGACCCCTAACTGTTACCTTATGTCTGGAGAGACATTTGTTTCAAACCGATTTGCCTTTCTTATTGTGCTTTTCTAAAAGTAGAGACCGTCTCAAGTACGGAGGCATAAGAAACTTGGTCTGTCTCAGAAACAAGACTCTTCTACTTCTTCATTCTGTTTCACCCTTCCCCCATGTTTATGTTTCTTAACCTTTGTTCGCATCTTTCTATTCTCTCCTACTCTACTTCTTTAAACAAAATGTTTCTCATAAGGTATGCATTTTAAATATCTGGGAGATTAGGCATGAGATTCAATTCAGGTCCTGCTAATTGATGGAACAGATACCAGACTATTAGCAACTACCCAATTAAACTGAGTTTACTTTTTGAAATGAGTGTATGAGATGTTGTTTAAAAAAACCACAACCCAAACCCCCTAAAAATCCCAGTTGGAATGTTTCTGCCCAGTGTTCATGAAAGTAGGTTCTCCTTCCCTTATATAGCATCAGAATTATTCTAAACCTGGTGGGATTTTTAAAGATATATATAATATTCGTAATGTTTTTATTAACTTGTAACATTTTTAATCTCATATATTGAAATTCCAATGGTTTTAATTCCAGGAACCGTGGATAATGTCAAAAAGACCACCAGTGGAGTGGCCCGATAGAGGAATAATAGAGTTTGTTAACTACAAGGCTCAGTACAGGAAGGATCTTGGTTTAGCCCTGAACGATGTCTCTTTTCAGACACAGAGTGAAGAGAAGGTACTGTATATAGTAAGAGATAAATGAGAGGTATAGATATAGCAAGATGATGTTGAACAGGGAAGATATTAAGTAGATAAGACCTTAAAGAAAAGACAAATGAGAAAAGGAAAAGTGTTTTCTTCTACAATATAGAAATTCTTATCCCTGTAAGAAACTGAGATAATGTTTTATGAATTTGGCAGTTTTAAGGAAGATCCAAATTTGAAATGAAATCTCTTGTCCACTGTGCTGAATATTTCTGCCAGATTAGTGTTAATCAACTTTGGATTTGGGATCAGGGAACACCAAGCGGGACCTAGTTTAGAGTCATTGGTTTGAATTGGGAAGTGCTAGACAGAAGGGAGGGGAAAGGGAAAGTATTCCCGCGGAACCAGGCATAGGCTGTACCACTTCTGAGGGAGAGCTGTGATTGTGAGTCATGTGTTCCAGAAGTGAGTTTTGAACACTTTTATTCACCTATAGGATTGCATGTTGGTGAAAGAAACTGAAGTGTTGAACTGAAAGTTGAAACTGAATTAATTAATCATTTTTCATATAGAATGCGTAGCATGGAAAGTTATAGTCTTTATCAGAAAACTTTCTTTTTCAGGTTGGAATTGTTGGAAGAACAGGAGCTGGTAAATCAACGCTCACAAATTGCTTGTTTAGAATTCTAGAGGGATCTGAAGGCAAAATAATTATCGATGGAATTGATATATCAACTATTGGACTCCATGACCTACGTGGAAATCTTAACATTATTCCACAGGTGAGATGTGTTTTAGAGATAACTTTTATATTTTTTTTTTACTAGCACAAGACATTTCATTTTTTTTGGAGAAATTATAACCCCAAAGTCCACAGGCTGCCAAGAGGCAAAGGCATAAAACTCCAATAGAATTTTACTGATCTTTGAAAATAGGCTCTGTTATGGCCTATCAGGTTTTAGAATTGAATTTTTGAGAATCTTAGCTATTTGATAAGACAGTAACCTTCAGTACCGCTGGCATAATAGTATCTTGAAAAATGTCACAACTGCATGTTGGCAATTATAAAGAAAAAGCCTCAAAACAGGGAGACCACATGTATGACATTAGGTTTTATTATGCCATTATTTAGTTTTACAGTCTTAGCTAGAATAACCCATGTTCTACAGAATCGGTATGTGTATAGCTACACACAGTGTTTTCAAGTCCCAGCTGAAGGCACAAATATTTTAAAATAACTCTTTCTGAAGAATGTAGGGAATAAGGTGATGTGTCCACGAATCATGTGATATGTATTTAAATTCATTTGTATGATCTGTTATGTAAAGCTGTCCTCGCTTACTTCAGAACAGAGCAAGAAACTCAAGATTAGTTCATATATCATTAGGATTGCGTTCATGCTGGTAAATTGATTTACGTTGAAAAGCTCTAGTATAAAGTAAGACCTAGAACACAAATTTAATGGTCACCTGAAGACTTTCTGAAGGTTCCCTGAATGCCATTCATAAAACCATTTTTTGTGCATCCGTGATGTTACTATCACTTATAATATTTTTTTCCTGACATTTTCCAAAGGAAGGTCTATTTTTTTTTTTCTAGCTTTTCTGGAGCTTTAACCCTGGTAATATTTCCTGTGTGTCTCTACCATAGACTGTGCATGGAAACGAGGCTAATAATACTTAAACCAAAATAGCTTGGGTCTTTCCAAGAATGACCTGAATAGAAAAAAATATGTATATATTCCTTCAAATCCTTGGGTGCTTTTCCTTTGAGAAATATATTTGCTCAGGGGAATGATAAATTCAGAGTTTTTGATAGAAGTTTTGCATCAGAAATGACAATACTAACCCAAATTTGATTATGCTGCAGGACTTCAAAACACAACAATTCATACATGCTCAGTTGTAACATTTTTCTTGTTTTAAGCACCTAATACTCTGTGAATCTGCACAACGTGTGACAGTTGTAAATTACACCATACTTTCTCACCTGCAGTTGCAGGTCTGATTTACTGTGGATGCTGTGGATATTGAATCTACATCAAGGCAACTAAATTGAGAGAGGTAGAAGAAAGTTCAGTGAACTAACAAGCTGGGATCAGAAAAGGAAACTAGAACTGGAAGGGTGCGAAAACGGAGACTGGAGTTTGGGGAGAGTAGGTGGAGTCTGGAGTGTTGAAATGCGTTGATCAGGAGAATGGAACTGGACAGACATCAAAGTCTGGGACAGAAAAAAGGGCATGGCAAGATACCAAAGCTTTCAGTGTGCACATACTTCTTCGGATCAGTCAAATCAGTCAAACACAAACACTTTTTAACATGTTAAAGTACAGATTTGCAAATTACTTCATTGATGTTCTAATGCAAATAACATGAATTTTAAATGAAGAATATGCACGAGATCTGATACCATTTTAACTGTCCTTTCTGGTCACCTAGCTGCCTTAAAATTATCACTGTTCTGCTTGCATGTAACTTCCTAGTGAATGTTGTTGGCCTTTTACAGTCTACCTATTAGGTCACAACCACTATGACTGCACTTAGTCAAGGTGTCTGTTCACTGCCTCTAAAAACATCAGTTCTGTTTATAATTCTGTGCAGGTATTCGTATGTTGTCAAGTACTGATTTCTTAAATTTGCCTGTTTAAGAAAAAAAGGGGTTTGTGTGCATCCAAAAAAAGTGTTTAGACTTAACTACTAAATGTTTGTTTCTACAGTCGTAAGTGCTGGATGTGACCCAAATACATCCTGGCATGTTCTTAGTCTACATGTACTTTCCCAGACATTCCCTGCTGTATTCAGTGCACAGAAGCTAGTGATGCTCATTTATGCAATAATTATATTTGTTCTTATTGCTGAATATGTTGCCTTTCCTCTAGGAAATTAAGAATATTTGACTTATAATGATAGCCTTCTAATTTTTCTTAACAGTGCTCATGAATGTAGTACCCAGTGTTTCACAAATTTAACAGTAGTAATAATTCGCATGTCGTTGCAGTTCCCAGGTGCTGGGCAGGACTTTAGTCAGCCACAGAATCAGTAGCACGGGGAATGCATAAGAAATCTTTTGTTCTTTTCATTTCACCTTAACAAAGAACTGAGCACACTAAGACCCCCCGTAATTTTTGTCTTTTCATCCACCAGCTTCAAAATGTTACCATTTCCCTTGCAAAGCTTCACTTCCAAATTATTTGTTCCAGTTCCCTATGTTAATGTAAGGATTTATGGCAGACTGGTTTAGGTATGTGTTAGAATTGTGCGCTCATGTTCTGCTGTTATTTAGGACCCTGTCTTGTTTTCTGGGACACTGCAGTCAAATTTGGATCCACTTGGAAAACACTCTGATCTTGAACTGTGGGAGGTACTGGAACTATGTGACTTAAAGGATTTTGTCCAGTCACTCCCAAAGAAGCTCCTTCATGAGATTTCAGAAGGTGGTGAAAATCTCAGGTACATAAACAAGAAAGTGCTATTGCATTTATTTTCTGCTACTGTAAAACTATGTGTTCCTTCCAGAGAAATTTACTTCAGAAAGTATCAGTATAAAAATGACACTTCTCCCGTCATTCTCTGTAGAATTATTCTGGTAGTACGAGTTTCTTTGAGGTGACCAGCTGGTCACAACTGTAGAAAGTCCTATGGCCTGTGCTGTATGGGAAGCCAAGGAAGCACACTATTTTCAGCTCAAGTATATGAGTAGGTATAAAGGCGAGGAGAGCAATTCATGCACCACCTAATTAGATTTGGATAGAAAAGTGCTCATTTATTTAAATTAAAAAAAACCCCAAACAACCCAACATAACAAACCAGAACAAAACAAAAACCCCCAAAACCACCAAATCTGGAAAGAAGGCAAAACTGCAGAAAGCTTATTCCTTTGCTTTATTTGCTTAGGCAAAACAACTGATTTTTTACTTGTCAAACATTAACCCATAGTTATGTAAGGAGGGTGACACTTGGAATAGAAGGACTCGGCTCTAAGAGACAAATACTGAAGCTTTCAGCAGCAAAGGGGCAGGTCTTAAATGGAGCGTACTGAGTATTTTTTTGAGAGATCGCTTTCAGGAGGAAGCCTCTAGAAGGCATACACCGCAGGTAACCCATAGGAGTATCCAAACTTTTACACTGAACATTATTAAAAAGTGGTTTAGCATTCAATCTGGTTTATTCGGAGTCCCCATTATAATGTGAATATAGAAATTGAAGGCAAGACTAGGTTTAGGCTACAAAGTTCAGCCACAGGTGTTTGAGTCACACTTTAACTATTATTGGTATGCTGAGCAAGAAGAAAATAAAACTTCCAAAATAAGGTGAACATATTTCACTAGTCTTTTCAGAAGTATAAAGTGTTGTTAAGAAAGATAGAACAGGTAGGCTGCACAGTAATCTCAGCTTTGTATTTGTTCTCCCTTTCCTCAGTGTGCCTGACCTGACCTCTCAAATGTATTTTTAACAGTGTTGGGCAGAGGCAGCTGGTCTGTCTGGCCCGTGTTTTGCTACGAAAGACAAAAATCCTGGTCCTAGATGAGGCGACAGCTTCTGTTGACATGGAAACAGATAATTTGGTGCAGTCCACCATCAAAAGAGAGTTTTACAACTGCACAATATTAACCATAGCCCACAGGTTACATACAGTCATGAGTTCAGAGAGGTAAGTAAGTTTTGGTAAGCCATTTTAAAAATAAATGGCTTCCTTTAAAAGCGTCAGTTTTCAGACCTACTAAATTTCACATTCCAACACTTTTTACCTTAGGATCTTTGTATTTGTACAATCTGAGGTATCGCAAAAGACTTGAGCATCAATATTAATTAAATATCGAGCACCTGTGTTCTGTTTCCCCCTTCTAATTACAGAATTAATATTTTTTCCTGCTAAAGTACAGGTATAAGGTTAAGACCACTTAATTCTCTAGAGTAAATTGACTATATAGTAGTATTTTTACCAATCAAGCAAAAATGCCATTTTCACAGGTATTTATTAAATATAGGAGTTCTGAGCTTTTGAAACCAATGAATTACCTAGTGCAACAATATTTCTTCTAAATAAGAGCTCCATTATCCAGAGATACCTGTATTAGGACTGGAAAATATGGTTGAAGAGCTGATTTTTCTTCTGCTGTAATCTTTCTGCTTTTGCATTGTAGAGTGCTGGTTCTGGACGCAGGAAGGATTCTAGAATATGATACACCACATAATTTGTTACAACGAAAAAGTGCCTTTTCTGAAATGGTTGCAGAGGCTGGGGTAAGAAGATAAAGAAAACTAATGAATAAATGAAGATGAGAATTCCTTACTCCAGTAAACACTCGAGGGATATCTGGCATTCCACATATTTATGGATTATTTTATATTCTCTGTAAAATAACTAGCTTACTTAAAAGTTCCTCACAGCATTGCTGTTTACTACAATTACAATCTATAGATATTGATCAAGTTTCTTAAAATAACTTTCTGATTTTACACAAATCACTTACTTTGATCATATTGGCACTGGAACCACATAATGAAGCACTAATTTTCATGGCATATTTTAACTGTTGCACTAGTAAAGACTGACTGAAAAATCTTGCTGTTCACACACTGTTTTATTTATAAAAGTTACCTAAGTAGCTCTGACATTATGCCCATTTAGGTAATACATTCTCATTATGATTGCAAATTCATAAAAAACCCAAATCTGCTTATTGGTGGACATACAGGCAGATGTCACTTGGTGCTGATTTTAAGGACATGCATAGTTGCAAGTATACTGAGGTAATTCTTGAGGCAATAAACTTGCCATGTTAATTATCCTTTTGACCTTGTGATTTCTGAATAACTGAAAAATTATTTCAAACAACTGAAAACCACGTCTTATATATCTAATTGAGCATTACAAATTTGCATTGTGAAAAATCCCAGAAAAATGGAGTCAGGTGCAGCTGTCTCTTTGCTAGTAGATTTTAGTGCAACCCTCAACACTAGGTGTGTTGGGTTTGCGTGGCAAGGTTTT